ACACATTACCCAAAGGTGCCTTCTGATGCAAAGGTGTTGATCTGGTAGTGATGGACAGAGGAGAAAGCTACCCTACAGATCTCCTCTAGAGGTGCCATCTCCCAGGAAGCTCTGGAGGCTGTGGCCCCCTGCCTCACTGAGTGTGTAACTGAGGCCTCTGGGAAATGGAGATTGGCTGACGTGTAAGCTAGGGAAATGCATCTTCTTAGCCAGAGAGCCCTTGGAGAATGTCTTGACAAGTCAGGAGGGTTTGAAGGACCAGAAGAGTGTGGTGCACTGTGGGCTCTGGTCCTGACTGCCCTGAGAGCATCTTCTGTGTGCTACCAAAAGGCAGAGCCTGGAACTGGACCTAGTCGTTGCCATAGGAACCTGCGATGGTCCTGCCTGATGGAAGTGTAGAGGTATGGTTCTGTCAGGTTGATGGAGGTGAGGAAGTCACCCTTCCTGAGGCTTGCCAGGGTGCTGCGCAAAAGCTCCACGTGGAACTTGGGAGATTCACTCTCAGGATGGACCATGTGTCCCCAGTCTGCTTTGGGACCCTGAAGAAGGCTGGGAAGACCCCGCCCTCTCAGGGACTGGGATGTGTTTGATGGCCTGGATTGTGAGGAGATGCTGGAGGGCTCCTTGGGAGACTGGAACTGGGAAGAAGACGCCTCTGGGTACCTTGTGGAACTCGCTTATCTGCTTTGAACTGTGTCCAGAATCCAGTGGCCTGAGATAAGAGGACGCCCGGGCCCTTGAGAAGCTTGCAAGCCGCACCCACCCACCCACCCACCCAAGAATGTTGGTAGCCTGAGAGTCCTGTTGGGTGCAGACTTCATGGAAGCCCAACAACTTCTGTTGCTGGGCAGAAGAGTTTTTGCTCTAGGAGGCCCTGCTATTCCGTCATGCTGGTCCGTCAGCCAGTCCTTGCCCTCCAAAGAAAGATTAACCTCTGAGGTAAAGCCTGCTTCCCACAGGTGAGTCCAGCTTGGGGGGTGGCCAAGCCCCTGCTGAAATCACCTTGTGGGCGATACATCCACTCTCAGCAGCAGAGACCTGGGCTTCACCGCTGTCTCCCCTTCTTTTCTGATGAGATCCTTGAGGTAGAGTGGAACTTTGCAGCGGGAGCCCCACTAAATCCTCCCCCTTAGCTGTGTCTGGGACCCCCTGTGCCTCAGTGCACCTTCTAATCTACAGCTTTCCTAGCAGCTTTTTTGGGGGTGCCGTGGGGTGGCTCTCTCTCTCTCTCTCTCCCCCACCCCCAGCTCCCTGACCCAAGAGATCCTAGCAGGTGCGTCGTATTAGGGAAGCACATCGGGTCTGTGCCTCTCTCTCCTGGTTCTGCCGCTGCGGGTGGTGGAGGGTGAGCGAGCCCTTCTCCCTCCCCTCGGGGTGCTGGGACCTCGGGAACGCAGCGTCGGGGGTGTCGAAATCTGCCCGGGGTGAAGCGTCTGCTGCGCAAGGCAAGGCAGCCTTTGGCAAGGCGGCCTGGGCACAAAGTGTCCAGCAGGGCGGCGAAGGTGGTGCAGCGGGGTGCTTCCGCCGTCGGACTCCTGCTTGGGTGGCTGGGGGTGCCGGAGGGAGGGCGGGACGGAGAGTTGGGGGTGATCCTGACCTCTTTTTTCTATTTACCTTTTGGGGTTCCCTGCAGACCGGAGGCTTTATTTTGGAAGCTGGACGCGGATCCGGCTTGGCTCCGGAGGATCCCCCTGCCTGAGCGCAGCAGGAGCGTCTGGGTCTCTTGGCGCTTCCTTCTCCTTTCTCCCAGCGCAGGCAGCAGCCGAGAGAGACGCTGCCTGCCGAGCGGGGCAGGAAGCAGGAAGGCGGCCGGGCTCCGCCTCCCCCGGAAGAGTCTCGCATCCCTCCCTGCCTATCCGGCCCAGGAGCCGGGCAGAGTCCCAAGCTGGCGCGCGCTCTGGCTGGCCGGCCGGCCGGCAGCTCCTGCTCCTCCTCCTCCTCCTTCCCCGCCTGGATCAGACGCTGGGAAGAGGCTCGCTGCGGGAACAACAGGAAAGGGAGAAGCCGGCGCTGGGGGAAAGTGGGTGTAGCTTCCCGCCAAGTCCGCCTGCCCGCTCGGCTTTTGCTTGCTGCCTCCTCCGCGCCCCTCCCCAGTTAAGAAAAGCAAGTTTTAAGGGGCGGGGAAGGAGGAGCAGGAGCGCGCCAGCTTGGGACTCTGCCCGGCTCCTGGGCCGGATAGGCAGGGAGGCTGCCTTCCAACTCTTTAAGATTCTCTGATACTACGTCTGGCAAAACCAAGCTTTAGGCATTGTAACTTTCGTGCAGGCAGCAGTTGTATTTGGCTTCTAAGCCCAGCAGCTTCTTCAGAATGCAGCATCAGCGGCATAGGGATCTGTCTTACCCCAACCAGACCTCTGGGTCCATCTAGCATGCTGCTGTGTAAGCCGATTGGCAGCTGCTCTTCAGGGTTTCACATCTTTTGCATGGGAAGCATGTGCTGTGGGCTACACCCTTTCCCTATCTGGATCAAATGGGGATCTAAGTGTATAAAGGAAAAACTGGTGAGAAACCATTCAGCCTCGTTAGGCAAAATGTGGAGTTTCAACCCTGCTTGCAGATTTGGATAGAAAGTGAGGTTGCCTGTCACTGCATTACTAACTTAAAAGAAAGCTGGATTGCTCTTTTTCTCCATTTGACTCAAAGCTGGTTTGCTGGGGAATGCGTCCAAACAGTATTTCACAAGAAACTACAGGATAGATGTGGACTGTGGATAACATGGTGTGTACACTACTTCCCAAACCAGCAGTGCAAGTATAGGGGTGTGTGTGTGTGCACAGCCTGTGCTTCCTCAATGGGAAAGTGTCACTCTGTCCATGCTCAAAAGCCGTATCGTCGTTATTTAGGACTGAATGTGCTTGGATTGGATCAGACCACAGACCCTCTGAGCAGGCTGTTCAAGCAGGAAATGAAGGCAAGGGCACTCTCCTCATCTTCCCCAGTAATCAAGGGCATATTCCTTCTGATACCATTCATCCCATACAAGTTATATACCGCTTGATTGTTAAAAAAATATATATATCTCAAAGCAGTTGTGGGAAAACCTCAATGCAAACATTGGAGGTAGTACGTAGCCCTCATGAATAGCAGCAAGGGATAGCCTTATTCTCTACTAAATTTACTAATCTGCCTTTTAAAGATATCTAAATTAGTGGCCGTCACCGCATTATGGTGGCCGTGAATTTGAGAAATGAACTGGGTGATGCATGAAGCGGTTCTTTCATGCCTGTCCAGACTCTCCTGCCAGTTTCATTTCATTGAATGACATTCTGAACTACACAACAGTGATGTGTAGCTGTGTCTTTCAAATGCAGAGTCTTTTTACACACATTTGCCAGCATGGAGGTTAGGATCCAGGTTAGGACCACAGACGTTTAAAAGCTCTAGATCAGGATCCTGTGCTTCAAATTTGTCCAAAAACAGGCTAATTGCTATGGTCTGAGATTTTATTTGCTAATTATTGGGTGGGAGTATTGCTTTGTTTACTACTTGGACACTGTTGATGTTGTTTCTTACTATTTATACGGCTGGTGTGTTGTTTTTATTTTTCCATTAGTGTTACAGTATTTTATACAAAATAATAATGTATTATATGATCCCCCTTTCCCACTATGGTATTATGTATTAGTATATATTTTTCTTTACTGTAAGTTGCTTGGGTGACTAATAAAATTAACCAACAAACAATTTAATGTCTACTTTTGCCCTGAGTGCCAATAGACATATGGGGAGAAAGATATACCCCAGTTATGTAACCTTTCCACCTATATACACCGACCCAGAAGCAGAGGCATATCTAGGGTTTGGTACCCCCTTGGCAAGGAGATGCACTGGCACTCGCTCCTAGGGGGGGAAATCACTTTAGTGCGGTAGCCACCTCAGGAATCACTTACTCTTTACGCAACCCAAGTACTCAAAGTGTCCAGAGGGAGGGAGAAGTGAGGAGGAAGGGCGAAAAGATTCACACACCTTTGTGCCGCGATGTGAGAAAGATATTCTCCCATGTTTGATCTTGCAGTGACAGCAGTGTCACAACACTAGAAACAGGTGATTTTTGTGCACCTCGATTGGGGGCCGGTTTCAGCAACCCCCTAGGTACACCTCTGCCTGGGTGTAAGCCCCACTGAACATGGTGGGACTTACTTGTGAGAAAGCATTGCCAGCCTCTTTGTTTTGCTGAGCTTCTTTTGTATTTTTCACTTTGAGCTTTTGGATTGGGTGAGGGATATAATAATAAGAAGAGGAGTTTGGATTTGATATCCCGCCTTTCACTCCCTTTAAGGAGTCTCAAAGCGGCTAACATTCTCCTTTCCCTTCCTCCCCGACAACAAACACTCTGTGAGGTGAGTGAGGCTGAGAGACTTCAGAGAAGTGTGACTGGCCCAAGGTCACCCAGCAGCTGCATGTGGAGGAGCGGAGAGGCGAACCCGGTTCCCCAGATTACGAGACTACCGCTCTTAACCACTACACCACACTGGCCCTCTTTGATATAAATCAAAATACCTCTCAATCTTATTTGAGAAGGCAGCCTTTTAAATAGCTACACACACGTATGCAGTGCATACGTCACTGTGCTCTGCAGCAGAGTTTCCCCTTCAAGTCTCCAAAATATCAGATGCCCTCTCCATAGGAACTCAGAGCAGGGCAGTCTGTGCAGCTGCATTCCTGCCGAGATACGACAGGCACCCACTGGTATCTTTCCAGAAACATTTGAAGACAATTTTTGTTTCAACAAGCTTTTCCATCTGGATGAAAAGATCTCTTCCTTGGGTATTCACTGTGTATCATTCTTAAACCTATCTCCAGTTATTACTGCACTTTTTTTTTTTTAAAAAAAAGCTGGTTTTAGCAGCTTTTATTGCAGGACTGTAAATCGCCTTGACACACAAGGAAAAGGCAGCTCGTAAGTTAATAAATTACTCTAGTAGAAATGACAAGAGCTCTCGCAGCCTATTGGGCACTGATGTGGAGTCAATTTAAGTAAGAAACAGCAGGGACCCAACTGGTGAGCAGGCAAGCTTTATTGACTTCTGCACCCTTTAAGAAACCAGATTAAAAAGCTATGCGCCTGAGGAAGGACCTCCATGTGCCAGGATCTGATGTTCTCCCCCTTTGATCTTCTTTGTCCTTCTCTCCCCTTCCTTCCCGAACCACATTGCCTCCATCCACTGCCCATCTCAGGCGTTGAGAACCCTAGCCACATTTCCCCTGCTTGGCAGCCAGCGCATTCAGTTTGGTGTTCACCTGATCGAGGCCACTCAGCACTCGCTCCAGTTTCTGCAGCACCTGGGGATCTGAGCAGGTGTTCAAGGGCTGGGGCACCACCGTAGGCCGTGGAGCAGCTGCACCTGGAGAGAAAGACAGCACCATTTCCCATGACGTGGTTGTTGCCGCATCCTCGGTCGAGTGCCATCTTCAAGTGCTTAATATGTAAAATCAGAAGCGTTGGGGTTGAGCCTCTTCTGCCCCACCTCCACTGAACCCAGAAGCCCTGCCTCACAATCCCAGATATGGCTACTAAGGGCCAATTCACCCACTGTCTTCAGAAGTCAGGGCCGTTGTATCTTTTAGCAGCGGAGCAATAGCAAAAAGTAACCAGCTTTCAAAATCCCAATCCCTGCTTGGGGCAGGCGATGCAATATGGCTGAATTTCTGCCTTTCTCACATGGGAATGCCCTCCCATCAGATGCCAAGGAGAGAAATAACCATACAACTTTTAGAAGACATCTGAAGGCAGTGCTGTATCGGAAAGTTTTTAAAGTTTGATGTTTTAGTATGTTTTTATATGTGCTGGAACCCGCCCAGAGTGGCTGGGGCAACACAGCCAGATGGGCAGGGTATAATTCTAATTATAATTAGCAGCTATGAAAGGCTGCTTAAAAACAAAAAACGACCACTCATAAGTTTGTGCTGTTTGATATATCCCCTTCTCTCCTTTGTATTTGGTTTCATTGCATGGTTAGCATGGTTAGAAATCTTGTGATGATCAGATTATAACACACATATTACAGATTAGGCCAAAGGTCCATTTAGTCCAGCACCTTCTTCCTCTCAGTGGCCAAGCACATGCCTCCAGCAAACTTCCAAGCAGGATGTGAAAGCGATCTCTCTTCTAACAACCCCACACCTCCTCCTGGTGGTGTTTTGCCCATACAACATGGCGATGGATGGTGAGTGGTACCCACTGGAACTGGCAGGATGGAAGGCAGAGAGGCCAACAGTAAGTGGAGCCAGAGCCACTAAGCGGCAGAGCCTGCCTCCTCTTCCGCCTGCCTCCTTACAAGGTGCAACACTGAGACTAAGGAGGAAGCAGTGGACTGGGTGGAAGTAAGCAGGCAGGCAACTGGAGGCTGGCTGACGGCAGGCAGAGGTTTGTGGGGCAGTGCCCCATTTGCCCTAATGGACCAGGATCAGCCTCCGCTGATGGAGACTCCGTTTAGCTATCATAATAATTTATTATAATAATTCTATTGTTTATATGCCACCCATCTGACTGGGTTGCTCCAGCCACTCTGAGCGGCTGCTGGCAAAATATAAAAACACCATAAAACATCAAAAAATCAACATTTCCCACAGCTGATTGGCACCGATTCATCCTCAATCCTCTTTGCATTTACTCTGTTCCATTTTGAAGGTGTTTAAGTGTGGCCCTCACCCCCATCTTGTGGCAGCAAGTTCCACAGATTTGTTATGTAATGTAGAAACACAAAATTATTTACATGACGTGTACATTTAAAAAATAAATATCAATATCCACAGTAATGCAGAATATACAAGGTCTTTTCCAGACCCCCCCCCAAATTCACAGGTTGCTGCTTCCCCCCACCCTTCCCCTTCCCCTCACCCCTCAGTCCCCTAATCCTAGTACCGTGGCTGGTGCAAATCTTCTCTTTCAGCTCCGCCTGGGAGTCCCGGAGGCCTGAGAAGTGTCTCACGACAATGACATGCTCTGTGGGCGGGTGGGAGGCCATGGTATGGAGCTCGCGCTGGGCAGTTGTACTTGTGAATCCCAGGCCAACCTTCCAGGAGAAACAAAAGTCACCAAGAGGCAGTTTGTGCTGCACTTTGGATGTGGTGTGAGGCAGACACGAAAGAGGAACGGCGGGGTTCACCAAAGCTCAGGCCTTTCCCCCAGTGACACGGCAAGGAGTGGACAGCATGGCCCAGAACGCATCGCCTCCAAGCTTCCACAGATGGAAAGAGGCGGGTGGTTGTAATGCCCCATGTGCATCACTTCCTGTGTCCCTCTCCCTCCTTGGGCCCCTGCAGAAGGCTCTGTCATGCCTGCTGGGCGCTGTAGTCATTTAATCCGCCACATTCATTTACTCTGCTGACTTAAAAGCTAAGACGGTGTTTGTGGTTTTGTTTAAAGATGCACTAGAAAACCATAATTGTCTATCCGTATGCTGTCATGTTCAAAATATGACCCTGCACTTCCAAAAGGGTGGGGTGCTCACTGCACGGTGCCCTTTAGGGTTCAGGGATGGCTGCTTACAAGTAAGGCCCCAGAGAATTTGTGTTTCCTGTGGCCTTCTGCCTGGGGAGCTCGTGGGCTCTTTTATACCAAAGAGAGCTCTTAGAAAATGGGGACAGTCTCAAGTAAACAGGGAGAGGAGAGCTGAGGGGAACCGCCACACAGAGGACTCAGGTAATAGGTGTGCCGCCGACCACAAAGCCACCTGGAAAACAATTGTGGTGGCCATTGGGACCTGCCCAGTTTGCAAAAACTACTAGTTGCGTATCAGTCTCTCCCAGACAGAGGCTCTGTGGGTTTGGGGTGAGTTAATGGTGAATCTACACCTGCAACCTGGGCACACCTTGAGAGGTCTGTGCTGGAGGAAGGTAAAGCCCCAACTCCCTCCAAAGGACATGTATGAGCCTTTTCTCATATACAACACAGGGGTGGATAGGTTAGCTTGATCACTCTGAAATCTGGCAAAAATGCTTTATGGTTTTGGGGTATGTTTTCCTCCATTCCTGCTGGCATCTATCTGCCTCGAGAAACAATGGAGTCAAACTGCAGCAATAGCAGCACCAAAGTGACCTCCCTGGGGCACAAGCCTGGGCAGTGTGTCTGGAGGTCCTGGGCTGCCGAGACAACAAGGCCTCCCTCTCAGCCTCACTGGCGTGGCCAAGGAAAGCAGAGCAGTATGTTTGGCACCAGCTTGGCTGCAAGAGTTGATGAAAGGAGGCGTACAAGGCGCCATCCAACCGTCTTGGGGACTCCACTCCGAATTTGTGTAGGGTTAACTCCTTAGCTTTTTCTTCTCCCAAAGATATCTGGCCAGTCAAAGCCTTTTCCCGGGGTGTGGCTGCTGCCTCATGCTGACAGCTTCTAGGAGCCACAGGTGAGAGCTGAGCGCAGGTCCACAGTTATTCCCATTTTACAGATGAGGTAAAGCAAGAGGTGGGGAAAATGCAGCTTTTAGTATTAATGGTTGCTGATCTAGTTGCCCATTTAGTCTGCTGCTGGTTTTAGTTTTGTACAGCAGCCTGAGGTTTTGTTGCTTTTGTACTGTCACTGTAAGCTGCCCCCCAGAGTTCCAGTTTAGCTGAAGGGTTGGCCCTTGAAACTTAAATAAGTAACATAGGCAGCTAAGTTTGTTCTCACCCCAACCGCAATGCGTGTGATTCCAGCTCTGTTGGCCTCTTCAACAATGTCTGCATACTCCAGAGGGTCCCCCGTTTTCTCCCCGTCTGTCACTATCACAAGGAACTTCTTGGCTGTGGGGCGAGCTCCTTTTTGTGTGGTGAATAGCTCTTTCCTAAAAGCGGGAGGGGAGAGAAAGGCTGGTGGTGAGTGTGGCAAGTAACAGCTACAAAGGCCCAAGTTCCCACTTTCCCAGGCTCAACAGGCATTCTGCGTTTCACTACTGCTGCATCTCCATGGTAGGAAAAGCACTGTTTGAATTTCTGCACCAGCAGGGGGGGAGAAAGAGGAGGCAGGGAAGGAGGGGGAGAGAACAGGAGCAAAGATACCCACACCACTTTTCTGATCCCGGAGGCCGTATGGGAGCCGCCGCCCAGCTGTTTGATTCCACCAATCAAGAGGTCGGCATCCCGGTCTCTGCTGAAGCGTCTGAAGTCAAAATGCTCTTCAAAGCGGTTAGAGAACTGCAGGAGGGCAAACTGAGAACAGAGAGAGATTAATGAGGACACGGCTACTAGCCACAATGGCTATGCTCTACTGTCCACTGTCGGAGGCAGTATGCCTCTGAATGCGAGAAACTCGACGGGCCATTAGCCTGACCAGGCAGGGCTCTTCTTAACCTCTATGATATTTGTATTTAAGCAGGTGAGCCAGACAGGAGGAGCAGCCTGATTCTTAAATCAGCTAACAGCTGCCAGGATCAATTTGTTTGGGGGCCAGTGGCTACCCAGCTGCCTTCTTCCCATTTTGGATTACATTCATCATTTCTCCCAGTTCAGGTCTGGTTACTGTTCTTCTTAAATAGAGAACAGGCGCTTTGCTGCCTCAGGCTGAAAACCCAAATAGGAACCCCTTACGGTGATACGTGTATAATAATTAACTAAATATTTGACAATTTGCTGCCCTTGAACAGTAACCCCAAAGTATCCAGTAATGCAGCCACGACATCCTTTGTTATTAACTCCTACACTCGCCCCCCGGTGGAGTGAAGTGTGCAAGGTCACAGCAATGGCTTCCCAGGGGACTTGGAGGCAGTGAGCCCTTGTGCTTCTCAGCCAAACCCCACTCAATTGATCAGGAACAAGGGGTCATGCTGAGGTTCAGTGCAGCCTGCTCTTTCCCCCACAAAATCCTACTCTTTTACCCCAGCGGCATGTGCCCGGCAGCAAGGCACATGAAAATTGCAAGAATCCTAGCGTTTGTCTTGAATCTTCCAACATTTAAACCAACTCTGGGAGCTGGCACCATGCCCTCTTGCCCATCTCCCCTACTGACCTGCGCATTATGGGGAATGCTTTTCATTACGAGTGCAATGAACACCTTCAGTTGCATGAATTCTGATGCCCGCATGCTGGATGAACCATCCATCAGGAAGACAATGTCCCGGGCCTCATTCTGACACTCTGGGTAGGGCGAAAGCAAGCCAGAAAGACTCATCCCAAGTCAAAACCATTCCTTTTCATTCCGAATACTCCTCAACTCAGCAACAGTTTAATTTTCTGCATAAAGTTGCCACCTTTCTTTCCCACCCCCACCTCTTACAGGTCCCATGCATTTAATCACGGCTACATGATAGTTGGGACGCGGGTGGCGCTGTGGGTAAAAGCCTCAGCGCCTAGGGCTTGCCGATTGAAAGGTTGGCGGTTCGAATCCCCGCGGCGGGATGCGCTCCCGTTGCTCGGTCCCAGTGCCTGCCAACCTAGCAGTTCGAAAGCACCCCCGGGTGCAAGTAGATAAATAGGGACCGCTTACTAGCGGGAAGGTAAACGGCGTTCCGTGTGCTGCCCTGGCTCGCCAGATGCAGCTTGTCACGCTGGCCACGTGACCCGGAAGTGTCTCCGGACAGTGCTGGCCCCCGGCCTATAGAGTGAGATGGGCGCACAACCCCAGAGTCTGGCAAGACTGGCCCGTACGGGCAGGGGTACCTTTACCTTTACCTTTACATGATAGTTACACTCCATGTTAGAAGAACCTTGACCTCTTCAATTTCTGCTAGTTCCATAGGGTATAGTATTTATTTATTTTATCTGTTTATTGCAAATTTATAATAAAGTGGGAAGGGGGGAATAGAAATGGGGGGGGAGGAGGAAAGGCAAAAATAAAACACCACTGTCAGCTCACATTAACTGTACAATAAGCACCACTACATCCATCTTAATTTACACATACAAATTGATAGATGCTATCCAAATGTTCCCAGTAGGTATCCAATTGAAACTGATGTTTATCAAAAGTAATTTAAAGTGGCCAGGGTGTTAATATCTTGAGTCTATTGAGTAAAAGATGGGGAACTACAGTTTCCAGGTTTATTTGTTGGGGAAGCCCATGGCTGTTAAAGCAGCAAAATCTTCTCTTTCGAGGAAACAACAACAACTGACATTCTTCTGCACAGTCTCTACTCACGTCCTAATTGCTGGTTGCTCTGGGGGGTTTCTGGGTCAGCCAAGGCATCTGTGAGATCAAAACTATCACCAGCAGACCCTGTGAGAAAGGGAGAAAGGAGGTGAGCCAATACCAAGACAATCAAGAGAAAATGGAGACCATGTGTGTGAGATAGAGACATGGTGGGGTAGAGAGGTATGTATGTTGCTGCTGCTGCACATCTGTGAAAATGAAATAATCCCCTTTGATCGAGTTATTGCTGTATTCCCTGTCTGCAAAATACATGTTTTTTTACTTATTTGACCCTTTGACTATACAATTCACTAGGTGCTGCCAGCCCTGCTCGCTTTGCTTGCCAGCCCTGCTTATCCCTCTGCCAGCTGCCCTTGCCCCACACCTCACTGAACCTCCTCCTTTTACAAAACAATATCATCTTGTCAAAATACATTTCCGGAGCTGCAACATCTGAAATGGCAGGCTGCACTGGGCCTCTAGTGTTTGTGCATGTGAAAGTGTGCTAGAGAATAGATGCATCCACTCGTCACTTGGAAATGACTAGAGATCTTGGAAAGAGAGCTGAAGTCTTAAGTCTAGTTAGACTAGTCTGTTAGACTACTGCAATGTGCTATGTGTAGGGCTACCTTGAAGACCGTTCAGAAACTATAGCTAGTGCAGTAGACATGACAGCTAGTTTCTTAACCATTCAGCCCGGAGACTGAGATCCAGCTCCGAGGGCCTTCTGGCAGTTCCCTCATTGCGAGAAGTGAGGTTACAGGGCCTTCTCAGTAGTGACACCCACCCTGTGGAACACCCTCCCATCAGATGTCAAGCAAATAAACAACTATGTGACCTTTAGAAGACATCTGAAGGCAGCCCTGTACAGGGAAATTTTAAATGTTTGATGTTTTACTGTGGTTTCAAATTTGTCGGAAATCAGCCAGTGTAGATGGGGCAATGCAGTCAGATGGGCAGGGTACATATAAAACCAAACAACAATAACAACTTTTAGGGTGTCCTGGTTTTTACTTTTTGAAATATGGCAATCCTAAGGGACAGGGATTTATCAGAAACAGCCAACCAAAAAAGAGATTATGGCCAGTAAGGAGTGACCAAGGCCTGAACAAGACTTTTTCTGCTTGGGGCAAAGGACAAGATTTTCCACAACCAAAATGGCGGTTGAGCTTTACTTCTGTGCTGGCCATAGGACACTGTTTTCTACCACACCCCAGTAACTGAGGTCAACCTAGAGCAGGTCGTGGGTTGTGGCACACACAGCTCTGTCCTCCAACACATTGCTGCCATTCCCGGCCCCCAAAATTCTGTTGCCTGAGGCGGTCACCTGGCTCTACCTAACAGTAGAGACAGCCCTAAGTCCTGGATAGCTGGAACTGACCTGCTGCTCCCAGAAAAAGGAGGGTGATGATGATGATGATGGAGAACCCCAAAGCTCCCATGTCTTCTCTCTGATCTCTGCCTGTCAGTTTTCAGCCTTTTCACTATCGGAGAGCCGCAACTGGTGCAACGGGGCAAAGGCTTCTCCTGAACGTAGGCTGGAAGTCGGAAGGGCACTGACCAGGAAAGGCCATCAATGGGGTGGGAAAGCAGCAACCTCACTTTGCAGGCAGCTGCAGCCTCTTTTCGATGTGCAAATATTTGCAGCCCTTTTGAACTCCTGAGTGGTAGCCAGCTTAGTCGGTTGTAGTGAAAATAACAAGTGTCCCTGTAGCACCATAACGAAAATATATGTTTGATGACTCAAAGGGGAAAGTTATGCTGAAAGACTTGGTAATCTTACAGCCAACCACTGCGAAAGCAGCAAAAGGCTGAATTCATTGAAAGTTTGGTATCTAGAAACGTGGTCAGTCGCTTCAGTGGGGGAAAAATAACACACAAGATGAAAGCATTAAGGAAAACAAAGGGGCCTGACAATTTTAGAGAAATGTGGAATTGCTGTATTTAATAAATAAAAAGAGAAAACAATGTTATCCCAGCTCAAACTCATGGTAACTGAACTTGGATAATGGTATTCCTTCCATGGGGCTGCATTTCTCCTTTGTTCAGTTGCTCTGTTTCCAATGGTGGTTTTGTATTAGGTTTTTGGCCTTGCACCAACTCTGTTGTTAATTGACCTATATTTTGCTATTGCTCCATTATGTATGTTTGTTTATAAAATTAAATGAACACAGATTGAAATATTTTCTGGCATCATCATCATACACTCCAACTGAATTTTCTTTCTTTCTTTCTTTCTTTCTTTCTTTCTTTCTTTCTTTCTTTCTTTCTTTCTTTCTTTCTTTCTTGACCTTTCCCTGGTAAATAACTGACCCTATTGCTGTGGGGTTTGTTAGGGTTTGCAGCATTGAGATTTTTCAGGGTTTAGCTTTCTCCTCCTGGCCTACTAAGTGTTTAAAGTGCTGGTGGTGCAGGAGGAGTTGGAGCCTAATTACAGGGGTACCTTGGTTTACGAACTTAATCCGTTCCTGAAGTCCGTTCTTAAACCAAAGCATTCTTAAACCAAGGCGTGCTTTCCCATAGCAGCGGGGGACTCAATTTACAAATGGAACACACTCAACAGGAAGCGAAACATGTTCTTATTCCAAGGCAAAGTTCACAAACCAAAACACCTACTTCCGGGTTTGCAGTGTTCTTAATCCAAGTTGTTCATAAACTAAGTTGTTCTTAAACCAAGGTGCCACTGTACTGGAAGCTCTGAACGCCTCCTCCCCACACCCTTATACAGTTTGGCTAGCAGCAGCCTCTCATATACATATGTGTGGAACAGCTACTGAACATTCTTGTGGACTAGTAGCTTTGGTAGTCATTTCCAACATTTGCTTTCAGCACTTGGCATTGAAGCAGCAGCTATGGACGCAGAACAACTTATGACTCAGTTTTCCCCAACCAGGATTCCAAACTAGCAATTAAAAAGTCAGAACACACTTTCCCCCTCCTGCTCTGTTTCATACCCAAACCCTTCTCTTTCAGTTTGTAGCAGCAGCCACCATGCAGGAAGGCTGCCCCGTCATTCCCTTGGCGAGAGCTTTCGCCATCTGGACTGCAGCTTTTAGAAGCTGTGGGGGAACAATATTTTGATGCGGCCCAGAGCTCCTTCCCTGATGTTCCTTTATAAGATGAAATAAGGAAGCAGAAAGGTCCAGTGTTTCAAAGGCTCTTCTGTTAACAACGACAGAGAATGGCTAGCATCATATGTACCTTACAAAAACAAACAAACCTTCACCCACCTAATTCCACATTCTGCATATACAAAAGGCAAATCCTGGGTCCGGTACAAATTACCGTATACAAATAATTCATGCCTGGTCCTACCATTATTGAACTGAAGAACAAGGGGGAATGGCACCTCCTTTGCCACCAAAGGCTTCAAAACATTCTCTCTATTCTGATGTTCAGTGCTGACGCCCAAACAGCACTGTCCACAGCCAAGAATTATAGAAGGAGCTATAAGCAGGCTTGGAGGAACACCGAAGTTTGCAGAAGTACAAAAAGGGTTTAGAAAAAGACACTGCATTCAATGACCGCACAGGGTCAAACTCTAGAGTTCACAAGTCAAACCTGCAACAAAATCTTGTAGCACGGGTGCTCCTGTTCACTGCTCCGGTCAGTGTGCAACACCCTCCACAACGACACTCCATTCCATTCCCCTCCAGTCAGTCCACATTCTGGGTTGCGGCCAAGTAACTTCTAATCAGAGTATACCCATTGAAATTGATGGACATGACAAATTTAGATCTATAAATGTCCATGATTGTACTCTAATTTGGTTGGATGCAGCCCAGAATGCTGACACACTGTGGTGATGTTGTGATGACTGACTGTAACAGGAGCACTCCCCACTAGAACATTTTGTCACTGGAGGTTTTACTTGTGAACTGCGAGCCGAAGTCAAGACAGATTTCTGTCACATATACCTCCACCTCTGCTGAGGCCATCTCCTGTGAAACGTCAAATTCTGGAGACCAGGTGTAAATCAACAAGACACTTAGGCTAGTTGTCTGGCGAGATGGCGTCAAGGTGAACTTGTTTGTTGATCTACCAACAGGGAGGCTGGCATCAGCCACGCAAAACTGGACCCATTAATGTCTGGGGGTGACTATATGGTCCCACATCCTTCAGGTGGTTGGAGGAGTCTGCAAACTGAATTCTTGTTGTCAGGTAACGATGACCTGACATGATTTGACTCCCGACCCCCCTGAGCAAAGCTCCTCAACTTATAATGCTTGCTAACCCAAGAATTACCAACGATAGAAGAATGGCAGATGAAGATGATGGATTTTTTGGAGCTAGCCGACCTAACCGTGACCAGAAGGAGGAGGAGTATGAGGAAGATTGGATTAAATTTAATGATTACTTAGTTAAATATGTTAAGTTAAATTAACTGAAAACAGCTTGCAGATACTTAATTGGCTTAGGATTTTATTTAAGTGATGCATTAATATGTTTAATTTCATAATGTGAAGATCTAAGGATGTTAATGTTTAACTTAATTTTTTTAAGAACTGTGATTTGGAAAACCGTTAAAAAGATATGCAATGAAATTCAACCAAGGGGAAGTGAGGAAGTCACTTAACAGTGTTAATAAGTGTAATTTTTAACAAGGCTATGATTTATGTTTGTTTGTCTTATGTGTTTGTTTGTTTGTTTATAATGTTGTGAAAACCAAAAAAAAAAAAAAAAATTGGGGGGGGGGGGACTTACAATGCTTGCGGGACAGGCAGAACTCCATCAGGAGAAGCTCCTCTTCGGCACATCTCTGTGCGAGCAAAAGGGTTTACCTGCTGAATTTTTGCCAGACACCCAGCGGCTAAACACACAGGACCCCGGCCAGAAACAAACCCGGCAACTGGTTATCACAGGCTCAGATGTTTTCTCTGCAGGTGGAGAAGGCAAGACGTAATGTCTTGGTTGGGAATTGTAATCATCAGGGCAAGTGAATCTCCTCCCCCCATTTAACAAACAGGTAGTTTTAAGGGGACTGGCAGGTGTAAAATGGGGGGAGGGGGAACCGACACTCTTTTCACACACTAACACACACACATGAGCTCTGTGGTGCCGCCTGTTAGATCTAACCTGTCAGCAAAGGAAAACGAGAGATAATTACAGGGTCTGAGGATGGGCCTATATAACGGAAGAGTTTGCCCTCCCTCCCTCCCACAGTTCTTTTTCCAGGTGGCGGAGACCATGCGGCTCTCTGTAACCCTGGCACCTTGGATTCTCCTCCTCATCCAGGATATTCTGCCTCTCACGCTGGCCCAAGAGAGGACGCTGCGCTTCGTCACGCTGGTACACAGGAGGGTGGGTGGCAGGAACTAGGGCGCCTGGGTTCTCCAGGAAGGAGCATGGGTCTAGTGCTGCACGGCAAGAGGGAAAGGTGCCAGAATACTTGGGGAGCGGTGTGAGGTCTGTGGGGTCAGAGATGGGAAGCGGAGCTTCTGGATTCCTTGAGTCAGGAATGAAGGCGTAGGGTGCATTCTGCTCCAAGGAGAGAGTTGCCTCTCTTTCATTTCATATATTGCTATATTCTATCTTTCAGGATATAAATCCTACTGAGGTTTCTTAGAACTGACATTTAATTACTTACAAGCACACACACAGTGGTACCTCTGGTTACGAACTTAATTTGTTCCGGAAGGTCCATTCTTAACCTAAACCCGTACTTAACCTGAGGTACCACTTTAGCTAATGGGCCTCCTGCCGCCGCCGCGTGATTTCTGTTCTCATCCTGAGGTAAAGTTCTTAACCTGAGGTACCGTAACCCAAAGTGTTTGTAACCCAAGGTACCACTCTGTGTGTGTGTGTGTGTGTGTGTGTGTGTGTGTGAATGACTTTGATATTTAATTAATTATAAAAGTATGTCAGTATCCTGTATCATAAAATATCAAGGTGGTGTACATTGTTAAAACAGGGGGGAAACCAGTGTTTTTAAACAAAAAAAAACACAGAAAAACATTAAGGAGACTGGCTATTGAAAAACGCCAAAACTTTGTGTTGTTTCCAGTGTTGGTCAAATGCCACTGAAATTAATGGACCCTAAGTTAGTCGTGCCCATTCATGTTAATGGATCCAGTCCAAGTCTGTCTAACCGTGGTTACAACCCCATCGTGGTGGGTGGGACAGTTCTGTACTGGAAGGGCACCAGAGATCTGTGTCTGCGCTGGGCACAGAGACACATCACACACTCAGAGACTTTAGCACCTTAGAAACTAACACTTGCTGTGGCATAAGTCTCCATGCATTTAAGACCACTTTGTCAAATACCTGATGCTGGCACCCCCCCTTTTTTTAAAATTGATCGGTCTAATAGCTTGTTTAGTCTCAAGAAGGGTAATAACATACTAATTACTTTACCCTGACTCACCCAATCCCTGGCCACTTTGAATGAAAATGTATTCCACAGAAGTGCCCGAAAGACTGCAGGCTTGGTATTAGGAATACACCCTTAAGGGGTGGGAGGGGAGCATTTTAAAGGGATAGTGTGAAAAACAAGTATTAGGCCTATTATGAAATATATATATACTCACACACATAGGATGGTTCTCTTGTAATGCATCATATCTGAAGAGGAGTAAATAGAAATTTGTATTTTTAATTTCTTTAAAGGGGTAGTTTTTATAGCACTAGATGCTATAAAACAGAGTTGTTGTTTTATATATGGGATGCATAATTTATAATAATACCCGTATAAGCACATATTTGTTTATTTTGCAATACACTTGGTGCATGTCACGTAAACTCAAAAGTAAAAATTATAAAGTGGCTGTGGTTGCTTTTCTTTGCCCCTCACCTGTAAATGAATTGGTGCAGGCATCTTGTTTCTGGTTTACAGACTGACCCTCCAGCAGTGCCATCTATTACAGAAAGGGAAAACACGTGTCTGTTTCTATGCATGTGTGTGAGAGAACTAGATAGCAAAGGGTGTGTGTGTGTATAGGTGGAATAATATGGAAGGTAAATCACAGTAGGTCCCATTTTGCAGGCCAGGATCACAGAATCATAGAATCTTAAGAGTTGGAAGGGACCCAAGGGTCATCTAGTCCAACCCCCTCCAATGCAGGAATCTCAGCGAAAGCATCCATGGCAGACGCCCATCCAACCTCTGCTTAGAAAACCTCAGTGGAAGGAGAGTCCAGCACTTCTTGTGGGAGTCTGTTCCACTGCTGAACAGCTCTTACTGTCAGAATGCTTTTCCGAATGTTTACTCGGAATCTCCTTTCCTGTAACTTGAAGCCACTGGTTCAGAGTCCTACCTTCAAGAGCAGGAGAGAGAAAAAACATGCTCCCTCTTCCATGTGACAACCCTGAAAATATTTCAAAAGTCCAAAAAGATTCCTGGTCTTGTAGGTTAGAAATTTGAGGGCAAAACTATCACTCGGTTTGCTGTATGTCGCTGTTCTGACCCCCTTCTTCTTTCTTAGGTGTATCGCCATGGTGACCGATCCCCTCTGGGCACCTACCCCACGGATCCCCACAAAGCGGCACCCTGGCCACAAGGCTTCCAGCAACTCACTGAGGTGGGGGCTTGGGGGTGTGTGTGTAGAGGGGTGGGATGAGCACTGGAGGCAAATGGGGCACTGCCCCTGTCTGGCTGCCTTTTTGCTGTACAACCAGTCAGGGGCTGGCTCTCTCTGCCATTGGCTCAAGCTCCACCTGTTTTCTGCCCTGCCGATCCCCATGGTCACCTCCAGCCACAACTTTGGGAAGGGGGAGAAAGGCACTTGCCAGAATTTCCATGACCATGACGGGAGTTTTTGTGTGAGTGAAGGCGACTGATCTCAGCCTTCGCTTTGCACTGGAGCAATGCGACAGCCCTGTTCTGGAGGACACTTCAGATCTTTCTCCCCCCCCCCCCCCCCGAACTTGCTTTTTTCCTTTTGTCTGCTGCAGGTAGGTATTTTGCAACAGAAGGCATTGGGACGATTCCTCAGAGAGAGATATGCTGGCTTCCTGAGTGCATCCTACAAACCACAGGAGGTAAATATTTGTTTGCTTATTTAATAAAGGGGATAGATACATTCCACACCAGCATCCAAGAATTCACAAGGCAGCAAATGTGAATACAGTAATATATATAAAGCATGCAACAATTTAAGTATTAGCTGACATGCAAAAATAAGCAGCAGCACCCCTAAAATGTATCCAAACCTATAACACCAGCTTCACCCACCTTTAAAAAAGCTAATGGGTGGTGGGTGAAGCCAGAGGGAAAAACTGGGTGGCTCAAGAGGCCCAAGTGGACAATGGAGGTTTTTGATTTTTACATCCCACCTTTCCTCCAAGGAACTCAATGAGGCATACACAGCTCTTCTTTCCCTCTCCATAGTATTCTCCTCACAACAACCCTGTAAGGTAGGCTAGACTGAGAGATGGTGACTGGCCCAGGGTCACCCAGTAAGCTTCATGGCTGAGTGGGAATTTGAACCCTGCTCTCCCATGTCCTACTCCAATACACAACACTGGCTTCCCAGGCTATGTTCCAGCCACACAAAAGCTCAAAGCTTCTACGCTTTCACCAACAAGGCAAGCGACATTAGCATCACAGGTCAAAGACACATTCCAGCCAGGCCACAGCAGCTTGAGAGGGCGTAGTGGAGGCCAGTGAGATGTGTGGGCTTGGAGAGTCTCAAGATAGATAGATAAATTTATTGTCATTGTCCGTATATACACAGTATACACGACAACGAAAATCAAACACCCACCCAAAGACCGGGTTCACATACACATTTGCACGTATCTCCAACACTCTCATCCTATTCAGACATAATCTATAAAAACATAACATAATCCAGAATATAACATAACCTATTAAAGGCATAACATAACCTAAAACCTATCTCATTCCTTCCTACTCCCTGCTTGCTATTCCTTGCAACTGGCCCTGAGATCATTATTTAGTGCAATCAGAGCTCTTGGATAGAAACTATTCAGAAGGCGTGTGGTTCGTGTTTTCATTGTCCTATATCTTCTGCCCGAAGGCAACAGTTCAAAGAAGTTGTGAGCAGGATGGGTGGGATCTCTCAGGATATTGTGTGACTTCTTCAAAGTGCGAGACGTGAAGATCTCATCCAGGGTTGGTAGTTGGAGCCCAATAACATTCTGGGCAATTTTAATTATTCTCTGTAAAGCTTTTTTATCCGTTTCAGAGCTGCTCCCATACCACGATAATATACTATAGGTTAAGACACTCTCGATGGTACTGTGATAATAGGACAGAAGTAGGTGCTGAGATAGATTCAGTCCCCTGAGCATTCTCAGGAAATACAACCTCCCCTGCACCTTCCTCACAACCATATTAATATTTGCAGTCCATGAGAGGTCCTCAGAGATATAAATGCCCAGGTATTTAAAACTACCAACCCTCTCCACCTCCTCGCCATTTATGTGCAATGGTAAAAATACACTTTTCTTTCTCCTAAAGTCAATTATGAGTTCTTTGGTTTTTTTGGTGTTAAGCATAAGATTGTTTTCTTTACACCATTGAATTAGCCCCTGTACTTCTTTCCTATAAGCAGTCTCATCGTTCTCACTAATGAGCCCCACCACTGTTGTATCATCCGCAAATTTGATGATTGTGTTGGACTTATACAGTGGGGTGCAATCAAATGTGTACAGGGAATAGAGAAAGGGACTTAGCACACATCCCTGAGGGGCTCCTGTGCTTAATACTAGAGTAGAAGAATAGTAAGGTCCCATTCTCACTGTCTGCGGCCTATCAGTCAGGAAATTCCTTACCCACAGACAGATCTTCTGATGTATACCCAAATTGGTCATTTTAAGAAATAACCTGTCTGGCAGAATTGTATTGAAGGCAGAACTGTAGTCCACAAACAACAGCCTTGCGTAGGTTCCCTGTCGTTCTAGATGACTCAGTACAGTATGGACAGCGATGGAAATAGCATCATCAGTAGATCTGTTTCTTCTGTATGCAAACTAGAACGGGTCTAGAGTGGATGGAAGACCAGCCTTAATATGATCTAGCACCAATCTCTCAAAACATTTCATAACGACAGATGTTAGAGCTATTGGTCTATAGTCATTGAGAGATACCACCACTGGCTGCTTGGGGACTGGCACTATAATCGATGTCTTCAGGCAGGTAGGGACAGAACCCTGCAACAGGGATAGATTAAAAATGTCCGTAAATACACCAGCTAATTCTGCAGCGCAGTCCCTAATAACCCGTCCCATGATTCCATCCGGTCCAGCTGCCTTCCTAATGTTAATGCTCCGAAAGGCACGTTGTACGTCACAGGTCTGTAATAAAAATGGTTGTCTATCAGTAGTAGTTTCTGATGATGTGCTGGTAGCCAATGCTGTAGTGACGGTAGTTCCAGTTCCCTCCTCAAAGCGACTAAAAAATTGATTCAGTTGATCAGCCAGGTGCGCACTGCTGCTAGCCAGTTCGTTTTTAATATTTTGCCCTGTAATTTGTCGCAGGCCTTGCCATACTCGACGAGGGTCGGAGCTCTCAAAATGTTTTTCGATCCTCCGGCAGTACATAGCTTTGGCGTTCCTAATGCCCTTTTTCAATTTGGCTCTGGCTTCTCTATACTGTTGCGCATCACCAGAGTGAAAAGCAGCATTTCTTGCCTTTAACAGAAGATACACATCCCTGTTTAGCCAGGGCTTGTTGTTAGGGAACACCCGTATTTGCTTGGTGGTAGTGACAACATCAATGCAGCTTTTAACGTAGAACAGTACTGTTGAAGCGTATGTGTCCACATTATTCTCCACAAAAAGCGACCACTCGGTGCTCCGAAAGCAATCTTGAAGTTGCTCAGATGCACCTACTGGCCACACTCGTATCTCTCTAGTTGATGGTCTAATTCTGCGTACGAGAGGTCTATATGATGGTATCATAAGTAAAGATATGTGGTCTGACTGCCCCAAATTGGGCAAGGGCTTGGTCTTGTATCCATGCATGATGTTACTATATACTCGGTCCAGGGTATTTCCCCCCCCTAGTGGGACAATCAACATACTGGTGGAACTTAGGGAGCACAGTCCTTAAATCGGCTCGGTTAAAATCACCAGCAACCACAAATGCTCCATCCGGGTGGGCCCGCTGCTGTCTGCTAATAGCAGTTAGCAGGTGGCCCATAGCTGTAGTAGTGTTTGCATCGGGAGGTATATACACCGCTGTTATTATAACAACATTAAACTCACGTGGCAAATAAAAAGGGCGGCACTTCACCACTAGGTACTCCAAGTCAGGAGAGCAATGCGTGTCCATTTGTTTTATCCTCAAGGACAGGATAAATAGCCCCACCGGCACTCGGGGACAGCCAAGGCTTTCACCTGCCTTGAGGCCAACCAACCATTATGCCCCTTTCTAGATCTATATCCGCAGCACAGATTACGACCGTACCTTAATGAGCGCCCAAGCCAACCTGATGGGGCTGTATCCAAGTTCAGATCCAGAGATCAGCTGGAGACCTGTTCCCATCCACACTGTGCCTACGAAGTATGATAAGGTAATCCTTCGCAACTTGCCCAGATTTTACTGGTTCTCATCAGCTGCTTCTCTGCTTTGTATTGAGTTTACGTGGCATTTTCTTATATTGCTTTTATTGAACACCATCCTACGAGTCTTCCATTGCAAGGTGGTCTATGCATGAAACAAATGTATTTTTTAATAGAGAAGCTAAGGGAAGTGTTTCCTGAAAAGGGGAATGCCACTTCACAAAATCCAACTTTATCAAGAATGAATCTCTTTCTGGCTGCTTTATTTTGATGTCTTGCCATATTTCTGTATGAGTCCCGTCCAGGCCCTGCATTTTCATTCTGGTCAAGCTTAAAAATTGGGACAGAGACTCAGTAAGTATATTTACCATTTAGACCAGTGTCGTGAAGTCTAGCATTCAATCCACTACACCAGCCTGGTAATCTGGCAGATATTTTGACCTATAATTCGCATCAACCACCTGTGCTGTCAGAGGCTGATGGGAATGGTCGGCCAAAATATCTGCCTGACTCCAGGTTGCTGAAGACAGCTCTACACGGCAGCCTTTTTTGGGCAAAGCAGGAGTATATGGATGTGAAAGTGAGAATCAATCAGTGTTCCTGCTTCTGAAGTGTAGCCCCATAGTTTACATATGGGAAAGGCAAGAGGGGTCAGCTTTCCCCAAGAATCAGCTTTCTCTGTCTTTTCCTACCCCACACCTCACAGCTGCTGAAGCCGCCAACCCGGAACTGCCTACGATACCAACAGCTGATGGGAGAGACAATTAATTTGCCAAGCTATCAGGCTAAAATGGAGACCTGGAAGGTATCAGGGAAAGGTGGGGTTGGCTAGGAGGAAGGGAGGGAGGGAGGAGGGGGGAATGGATTCCAAAATCAGGATTTCTTCTTCATCCAATTCATCAATCCAACTCTTTGCACCCATTGTAAGAGGAATGCACCATCAGGAGGGGGGAGTCTTGTTCTCTGCCTTGATCACTCAGAGGATATATATGTACTACAAACTTAAAGCAGGTTTTATACCACTTTAATTGCCCTGGCTTTTACCCAAAAAAATCTTGGGAAATGTAGCTCAGCATGGATACTTTAGGGATCCAAAGCATGCACACCCCACCCCCACCCCGAAAATCATGGTTCCCAGGATTCCCTGCAGAATGAATTACATTATACCAGTTCGCTTGTCTTGTCTTGCATTGCCATCGACAAGAAAACTGACTGCCTTCTTTTGCTTAAGGCAGCCCTTTGTTTACTTTTGGAAATCGCTGATGGCCAGTCTAGCACCCAATCTGAGTGTTTTTATTATTCATTTAAAATATTCATATACCACTTTGCGGGGCAAGAATCCGGGGTGGTTTCCAAAAAATTAAAGCTAAAGCTTTTGAATGTAATAAAAAACCATTAGTAACAACAGATACAAGATAAAAAAGGAATACTTTAAAAAAGTGCCCAGTGGTGTAATGCAAGCATGCTTATTCAAAAATAAATTACTCCTAGGTAAGCACTTGTAGCAGCCTTTGCCAATCCTAGTGCCCTTCAGCTGGTTTGGACTACAACTCCCATTAGCCCCAGATAGCACCTTGTTGGGCCTGAGGGCACATTCAAGAAATCTAAGAAACTGTCATGGGAATCACCCATTGCACAGAGGAAAAAACTGATGTTCGGGACCAAAAAACTCTACACAGCCCAAAATAAACAAAAAAGAAGGCTCGCATACATATAGTTTTAAAATATATACAAATTTGAGAAAGACAGGGGCCCTTAGGCCTAACTTAAGTCATGCTTATTAACTCTGATGGGTCTAGTCTTGAGTGAAACAAACACTGAATACCATCCGTAATGGGTCTAATTGTGGTGCCAACCCTACATGGAAGTGGGTTTTCGGAAGCCACACCACTTCACTTACAACATTCAGGCCTATGACAGTTTATGTGGACATATACTGGTGTTAGTAAGACCATGTAGGATAGTGGAACCAGCTTTCTACAGGAAAAGCACATTGAAGTTCCAGTCCGTTAGCTAATTCTTCTTCCCTCTTCCCTCCCTTCCCAGGGCTTTATGAGAGAGATGGCAAACCACACAGGGCTTAAAGAGGAACAGCTGACCCTGAGGGGCCTTTGGAGGGTCCACGACTCCCTCTTCTGCCAGGTAGGCATACTGCACCACATAACAGCCTCCCCACAGTTTGCCTCCAACCATACCTTTCTCTGGTGTTTTTTTCTTTCCTTGCAGAAAACACACAACCTGACCTTGCCCAGCTGGGCCACGCCACAGGTCCTGGCCACCCTTTCAGAGATGGAAGCATTCAATGTCGAAGCCCATGTGGGAATGCATGCAAGCCAGGAGAAGGCCCGATTCACTGGAGGTAAATTTCAATCAATTTTAGAGGATAAACATTCTAATGCTGCTTTGACAAAACACAGTACTGGGGGGGGGAACTGAGGAGGGCCCGTTCACACGGCACCTGAAAACTCACTATTTTCCAGTTCAATGTGTTCCCCATTGTCCTCCACAGATCCATACCTGACCAATTTGTGTGTGGGTCATGACATTTCTGCGTTTGTTTTTTTGTTACTATGGTTTTTCTTCCACTCAACCCTTCAACTGCTGATGGCGCACCCCCCAGTGCTCAGCACGTGTGCTTGCATGACTCTCATTTTTGAATGCAACACAGCACCCCCTTGACCCCCAATTATTTGCAGAGCTGCTAGTTTTGTGCCTGTTGGCCAGTTATTCTTTGACATAGGACCACAGGACACCCCTCAGTCAACAGTCTCTCTCCTTCCTTGCAGGTATATTACTTGGCGCTATCCTGAGCAACTTCTCCAAAGTAGTGTGCCGAGATCTGCCCCTGAAAATGATCATGTATTCTGCTGTAAGTCTTTCCCCACCTTAAGACTTCAGGGGGACCATGTGGGAAGATGGGGTGTCTGGTTTAAGTGTGTATAGCAGTCTGCCTGTTTAGAAGGATCTCGGGGCTCTTCAGTGGCTTCACTGCAAGCAGTCCTTTTTGAAAGTGCTAAAAATAGTCTCACTAAAACTAGAACTATAAAACTAAGCCTGCAAACTATGGAACAAACTTATCACATGAAAGGGAAACAGGAAGTTCCTGAATAGCACCCTCCATGATGATGAGGGGGAAGCAAAGTAATATCTAGTCTGCACATGAAAAAGTGGCATGCTTTAGGGAGTGGGGGGCATAGCAATATATTGTAAAACGCAAAACATGTTGGCTACATTTTCCCTGTTCACCTACTTTTTAGCATGACAGCACCTTAATCGCTCTTCAAGGAGCCCTGGGCGTTTATAATGGTCCCCCTCCACCCTATGCTGCCTGTCATGGGTTCGAGTTCTACCAGGAAAGCAATAAGTAAGTCTGGTTCCATCTGTGGGGCAGAAAAGGTTTCTCTTGTTTTGCTGGGTGTTGAATTTGCTCTCCATCACAGAGAAAGGTTTGGTGTGCATGTAAAAACTGTACAGGTGCTGATGAACTACTGATAATTTATCATCCTGGTGAAATAAAATGCTGGCAGTATTTTAAGAAGCAAAAAAAAAAGTCCAGCCTTCAAGGCTTGTGAGGGTGAGCTTAAAAGGCTTATAACTTGCAGCAATATCCCAGGGGACAGAATGTGCTCAGGCTCTCAGCTTCCTCTAACTCTGTGCCCAATAGAACAAATTATGTACAATTGCTTTTGCACGAAGAACTGAAATTTTTACTTGTTGAAAAAGCAGCTTATACATGCCCGCCCCCCCGTTCCTTTTGTGGCTCAGCTATCCTCCCACAACTCAATGGTAGACACATCACTTCACATGCAAAGGATCACACAGGTTCAATCCCCAGTATTCTCCAGGTAGGGCTGGGGAAAGGCTCCCTGTCTTAAACAGTGGTATGTTTCCCCTTGTTTTCTTAAATTAAAAGCCACCTTTTGGAGTATGGTAAGTCTTCTCTGTCCAGTATTTTTTTTTTAAAGTTCTGACTTTGATATAAGGAAACATTATTACTACCCTTTCTTAAAAGTTGTCCTCTCCAAACCAAGGAGTACACCATTCGGAAGGACTCTCTCTGCCAGCTCCTAGTATCCCTTGCAGTATTAACAGCTGCCTCCCAGCGACTTGTCAGCACATTTGCAGTTGCTGACGCATTAACACAAAGCACACAAGGTAGAGGCTGAGACAGAACCAGAACATTTTGAGAGACACTGCAGGAAGGAAAGCACCAAATATCAGAGCCAACGTTTGGCAGTGCGGGGTTATGGGAGGAGGTGAAGAGTGCAATCTTTACTAAGCTCCTGTGTTTTCCATCTTTCCAGCTCCTTCAGTGTATCCATGTTTTATCGGAACGAAAGCAGCCACCAGCCCCACACATTATCCCTTCCTGACTGCCCCACACCTTGCCCACTGCCTCTCTTCATTCATCTTACGAAGGCAGTCGTCCCGCTGGACTGGGATGCCGAATGCCAAAACCCTCGGGCAGGCACAGGTAAAGCAAGGTCTTTTCCCTCCCCCTGGGAAGACGTTCGCACTGACTCTCCCACTCACACCTGCTCAATTCCTTTTGCAGGGCGCACCTTAACAGCGCTGGCTGTGGTAGTAGGCCTGCTAAGCATGGCATTAATAGGAGTAGGCATCATGTATTGGAGGAGGTGATGGGAAGATGGGCTCATGGCAACCACCAATCGCCCTCATGGGAAGAGAGAACAGCCTCTACATGTTGTGAAGTGTGGTCCAGTGGAGCCAAGGGGGGCAAACTCAGACTCCATCCACAGAAGCTGATGGTCCAAGCAGCACAGGCAAGAGGCACATTTACTGTAGGGAATTATTAGGAGACTTAAAAATAAAGCAAGTAGTGCAATGCTTGTGAGTACTACGCTGTGTGTACCTTTCTGTCAGACATGGCAAGGGAATTCTTATGCCTCCACATTGTTTAGAGGGCCCCATGCTTTTCATTTTAATTTGCTCTGACAGACATACACCACTAATTTTTAAAATCGGGAGTTGGACCTTGAGGATCATCTAATCCAAACCCCTGCAATGCAGGAATATGCAGCTGTCCCATAGGGGGTCAAACCTGTGACCTTGGTGTTATTAGCACCACGCTCTAACCACCTAAGCTGTGCTTAATGCCTTGGGTTCCCCACAAAAGACATCTGTGGTAGGATCAACATCTGGATGGCCATATTTTCCGTACCTTGCTAAAAAGATGCCTGCATGTGAAAAACATTAAGTACAACTATGCAAAGAAGAATAAAAGATCAAACGTATCCATTCTGAAGGAAATCAGCCCTGAGTGCTCACTGGAAGGACAGATCCTGAAGCTTAGGCTCCAATACTTTGGCCACCTCATGAGAAGAGAAGACTCCCTGGAAAAGACCCTGATGTTGGGAAAGATGGAGGGCACAAGGAGAAGGGGACGACAGAGGATGAGATGGTTGGATAGTGTTCTCGAAGCTACCAGCATGAGTTTGGCCAAACTGTGGGAGGCAGTGGAAGACCGGAGTGCCGGGCATGCTCTGGTCCACGGGGTCACAAAGAGTCGGACACGACTAAACAACAATGCAAAACCACTTATCGTTTCTACATTTTATTGAAAAAAGTAAATGCTGCACAGAATAACACTGTCCCTGCCTGGAGGCATACAATCCAAATTTTGTTTTCCCCAAGTTGAAAGGAGTACATGGCAAGGTTGTGCAAAATGCAGCATTCTTGGCAAATATCCCCAAAGATATTAATGCTGCTTCAGAATCCAAGGTGAAACCAACAGCCTTGCTTTGGAGGGTGTATATGGCTTATGATCAACAATTTACTTAGAGCATTTGTACCCTGCTCTTCAACCAAGAAGGTTACCAGCATGGCTTATATGCAATCAATAAAAGCAAGGCAGTTCCTGCCTGCAGGCTTACAATCTTAAATACACAACACACAAGGGGAAAAGAACAAGGAGGGAAGAGGAAAGAAATCAAATTGAGGTACCAATCCTTAAACAGTTTTTCTTTTAATGACCAACTGGCACAGTTCAGGGGTAGGAGGTGCCTGATACTGCCAATCTTTTGACAAAGCTGATGGAATAATCCCTGCTTCTGATGGAAGCTCTTAATAGTGAAGAGCTGCAGTGAAGAGCCAAGCTACTTGGTTCTGAAACCAAGAAACTTGCTTGAAAGAGTAGGAGGCTGGTAACCAAGCAGAGTTATGGTATGGGTGCAAAGGCTGTTTAAAATATGGAAGACAATTGGGGGGGGGGAATCAGTGGATCAAAAAAGAAATATGTATCAGTGACTTGCTGATAGTCCAGGAGATTCTTTCAAGATTGTGGGAGAAACCCACCCACCTCGCTTTTTTGCTGCGGTCTTCCAGCTTGGCTAAGGCTGGGCGGGAAGAAATATGCTACATGAATTAGCAACGCAGTGCCTAGGGAAAGCCCAAACAGGATATGACGGTGCTTTTAAAAGGCTGCTGACTGAATCTTGAAGAGCCCTGTATCTCGGTCAGAAATAGTGTAATGTTTTTCTGGAATAATGGGACTATCCCTGTACAAGTTTGTTCAGGAACTTTAGTTATTCCCCCAGCCCAGCCCCAGTAGACTTGAAGCCTTTTGGCCCCATGGAATACAAATCCAGCAAGAGAGCATTTACTTCCCAATTTAAAGGCTGTTAATTTTTAAAAAGACGCTCCCTCAGCGCTACGAAGCATACACAGTGAAGTACAACTTTTTTCCCGCCTCTCAAAAGAAATGGGAGGACTGACCCGTCCTGAAAAGAGGCCCCCTTCAACACAACCTTGGCATAAGCCTTAAGGATCAACTACTGTGTTTTTCAATGCCCAGATAATCTTTCCTCTGCCTTTCCTGCCCAGTTCTACCTGTGAGCCGTTAGGGCATGGAACCAGTTGCATCTTCCCGCCTGCAAGAGCAGAGCTCAGGTGTTCCCATACCTGGAGGAAGAAAGCAAACAAACCATGTTGGCAAGACTTTTTTTGCACACTATCCACAAGGTGTAGCCTAGTTTCAGAGATCACTCACTACACATATTGGATTTCATGCCTGCAAGCATATTTTCCCTTCCTGCCACTCAGTTCTTTTTTTAAAAAGAGAGAGAATATGTAAAGAAATTAGGTGTATCACGATTTCAGGAGTAGCCAACATGGTACTCCACACTATTGCTGGGACTGCAGTTTCCACCCTCCCTGGCCATTTGCTATGCTGGTGAGGGCTAATGGGAGCCCAAAATTTTGAGGACACCATGCTGATGACCCCCCCCAACACAAACGTCAATATCTAAAAAGTTGCAGCAAGTCATGGGCATTGCTTCTCCACTCCAAATTCACAACTCTCTAAGCAGCTTTAAAACCGGGGGGGGGGGGGTGATACACTGGCCCCTTACCATTAAACATGTTAATTACTCCAGCTTAACAGAATCGTAGTTCCGTACTTCCATAAGCTATAACACACACAAACTTTAGCACTAAACAATAGGAAAAGCTCAACTGCTGCATTGTGTCATTCCTAAGCCATTCATGATTTACAAGCTGATGGAGTGAGAGCATTAATACTAGGAGACCATCACTGTCCCTCTGCAGACACACTAAATGCACAGCCAAGTAGGGACTCTCAGATTCAGAACCCCTCAGTCTTCTGGAGTGTCAAGTCCCCAGAAGGCACCCAAATCATCACAGCGATCAGAGCCCAGTGCTGACATCATCGGGGTATCTCATATTCCTGCCCCACTTCTAGCACTGCACTAACTCTGTTCCAATACCCCTCTTCCGACTTGTCATTAAGTGAATGCTCACCAGCCTTGGCTGCCACTGAAGCACCTATATTCAACTTGCAAGGCAGATATTCATCTTGGGTACATCATCAGGGTCACCTAACAATAAAGGTATCGTAGTTAGGAGCTGGGAATGCATGGGACTATTCCTTCTATCAGATCAATCGACCACCACCCCTCCCCAAAGCTACGCTGTACACCTGGATGAGAAGAAGAGAGCAGAGAAAGAGCATCCCAAAAGATCTCCACATAATTCAACTAGTGTCGCGTGTGGGGGAAGGCTTTCATTCTCCAGTGTTTTGCCATTGCCTCCTTTGCAGGAAGTCCCAGCCGCCACAACTGTACACACGTGTCTCAAAGTTCAACACACAGACCTAATCCCACCAGAGCCTTCCCCCCACAACCTCAAATTTCCGGGATAAACAGGGATTCTTCTCCTCAGCCCCCCATGATGTCAAAGGCATGGGGGGCACTGTCATCGTCATTGCAATCCGCGCCCAGTGCTAACATCATTGGAGGAACCCTGTGGCCACAGCACTCCCACCTACACACAGCAATGCTGTCCTGGCTTACCATGCACCCCAATCTCCAATGGAAGGAAATTTGGCCCATATAAATACAGGACTTGCTAGACCTTGCATGGAACACTCAACGAATGCACCGGCACACTAGAGGGGGAGATGGCGTTTCACTCTTTACTATCTAACTGAAGTTCCCAGAAAACCTACACAAGCTCAGGATTTCCCAGGGCAACAGTATGAAATTTGGCAGGGCAACACTTACCCAGTACCACAAGTTCATCCAGTCACTGGAGGCCCAAGATGGATGCTCCATTTTAAGCAGGAGATAGACAAAAAGTAGTATCGCTGTAGGAAGGGAAAGCTGGTTAGTAAAATATGCCACTAGAGGCACTCTTCCAGAATCCTGCCTGACAGCACACTACATTCCTCTTATACCAGTCCCTATATACACCCTTGTCTGGCAGTTTCAGTCAAAATCCCTTTTCTACCCCCCACAAATTCCCCCGTTAACTACAATGGGCGTAGCCAGAATTTTTGTTAGGCGGGGGCAGGCCTTTTGTTGGGGGGCAGAACCTCAGCCATGTATTTTTATTGATTTGGGGGAGGTAGCTGCCCCTCCCTGCCCCCCTCGGCTACGGCCCTTAACTAAACCCTTTTACAAAGCTATTCTCCCTTATGCTGCTGAGCCTCATCAATCCTCCTTTGACTTTACACACTCAGCACCTTTATACAAGTCTTTAGCCCTCCCGTCTACATTCCAGTTTATTCCCCACACAAGCCCTACATGCCCTTTCCACTATGGGTCCCTCTCTACCTATCTGCACCCTAACGCCGCCTCTGCAACTCCACCATCCAGCTCTTATTCTAAACCTCTTCCTCTCCCCTCAACAGAGAGCCTAGCAGCAGAAGCGGGAGGGGGGGGTTGGAGAAACCAATAAGGAATAAGCAGCCCAGTTATTCGGCCCGTTGCCCACCCGCCCGCTCGCCTTTGTAGCACGCAGCACCTCCAAACTCCTGCACGCCGCCATTTGAAACAGGAAGAAGGTTGGCCGCACGTGGCCCTTTTATACTCCCGCCTCGCCCCGCCCACACCTTCGGAGTCCGAACTCGTCAACTTTCGCGCGCGGCCCCCGTCCCGCGCGTGCGCATAGCTGATGAAATGGAACACGGGCTTCGCCCCTCCCCTCTCGTAACGGGGCGCGCGTGCGCAAGGGAGGGGAGGCAGAGCAAGGCGGCGTGGGGTTCTGCTGGTGGTTTTTGCGGGATTGTTTAGTAGCGGGAGATTCTGCATAGAGAAGCAACTTTGGCTGGCAGCCAAGGAGTGGAGGGTTCAAATGCCTATTTGGCCCTGAAGCTCACCGAGCTCCCTTCGGCCAGTCAAAGTGTCTCACCTGCCTCACAGGGTTGTTGTGACTATAAAATGGGGAGGAGATCCGCTTTGAGGTTTTATTTTCTTTAATACAACCAAGCGGTCATGGGCGTGGGGCAGCCGCCCCACCCACCCCAGATCATGTAAAACAATAGAAATACTTAACTAACTGATAAGTCACGCCGATTCTGCTCCCCCCCCCCAAAAAAAAATCCTGGCTACGCCCATGCAAGCGGTATATATACGTTTTAGTAAATGAAAACTGCACTTCACCTTGAGCTCCACAGAATAGGTGGGATAAAAATGCGAAAATAAGTAAGTGCTGCTGCTGCTGCTGATGATGAAAGAGCAGTAGGTAATCTCAGTAGTTTTAAACCCTGGATTTGATGGTATTAATGTGAACACCCCCACCCTTTTACATGGCCATATGCATTGCGAAGCATGCAATTTTGGGATAGTTCAGTCGGTAGAGTGTGAGACTCTTAATCTCAGGATCCTGGGTTTGAGCCACACCTTGGACAAAAGATTCCTGCATTGCAGGGGGTTGGACTAGATGACCCTCGTGATCCCTCCCAACTCTGATTCTAATATCTCTTTCGCCACCGTTCCATGTTTTGCAAAACTTTTGCATTGCTATGTTACAGCAAAAACCAAAAAGTTTTAAAAAGTGAAATACTCTGAACGTGTGCAATTTCAGACTAACTTTTCTTAAAGCATAGCACTGTCCTGACTACCATAGCCACTTCTGTTGCTACATTGAAGGTCAACCGCAATGTGCTTCTGAATACCAGTAGGAGGGAAGAGTGCTCTTGTACTCAGGTCCTGCTGGTGGGCTTTCCATACACATCTCACTGGCCACTTTGAGAACAGGATGCGGGGCTAGATGGACCACTGACCTGACCCAGCAGGCTCTCCTTATGTTCGGATTTATTGAGCCCTGGTGACACGAGGAGCCTGTGGAAGAGGTGAGACTCAAATCAAGACCCAAGTTGAAATCTCCATCCGCAGTACCAGAACTGGGTCCTCCCTTGCCCTTTTGTCTCAGGTTGTGCTCCCTCTCCTTCCTCCTGAATATAACATTATTTCCTGTAAATTTATGCCACATTCTCTCTCACAATGACTGCATCTTTGACGTCTTCTTAATCTTCTACAATGGAAGTGAAGATGGTTCCTGGTTTCTTTCAGTTCCATATTTGCAATTCTGGAAGATGCAGGCAAGATTATTGTAAATGGGTGGGAACTGAACATCTATGCACCCCAAAATAAGTCGTCTTGGGCACAACCTGGATCATACATCCATGCTAAGGGGAGAGGGATGTATGATTTGGATCAGCTGTATGACAAGACAAGCAACAACAGAAATAACTTTTATTTACACCATTCAATTTGCAAATAGAAATTCTCTTTATTATCTATGGGACCACCCTGGGGCGAGATGGGAATTACAGTATTGGAAAGATGATACATACGGTAACTGTATTAGTTAAAACTACAGTAACAACAGTGATATATGGAATTTGCTGGCACATTATATGGAGATGACTATTCACTTAGTTGGCTTGATGCTGAAAACCAAGCTAGTGCAATATGAACATAGTGTCCAGATCACAAGAAGGAATCCCTCCACTGTATGGGGAGTGGGAGGCCCTAGGCTTCAGCCTACTTAGCCTACACATACGGTAAATACCCACTGCCTAAGTTCCACTCAGAGTAGATGCAATGAGGTGAGTAAACGTAACTAAAAAAGGTAAAGGGCCCCTGACAGTTAAGTCCAGTCGCGAACGACTCTGGGGTTGCGGCGCTCATCTCGCTTTACTGGCCGAGGGAACTGACGTTTGTCTGCAGACAGTTTTTCCAGGTCATGTGACGAGCATGACTAAGCCACTTCTGGTGAAACCAGAGCAGTGCATGGAAACGCTGTTTACCTTCCCACCGGAGCAGTACCTATTTATCTACTTGCACTTTGACGTGCTTTCAAACTCCTAGGTTCGCAGGAGCTGGGACCGAGCAACAGGTGCTCACCCTGTCGCAGGGATTCCGATCGGCAAGCCCTAGGCTCAGTGGTTTAGACCACAGCACCACCCATGTCACTAAACTTAACTAAACCATCTTAATTAGCACCACTGGGTCTACTCTGAGTAGGACTAGTGTTGACTACAACCTAGGGTTGCCATTTTTCAAAAAGTTAAATATATTTTTGAGCTATTTCTGAGGACATGGGCTGCCATACGTCTGGATTTTCCAGGACATTTTTTTGCCAATTTTCCAGATATGTCCAGACATGTGCCAACTCTACTATAACCAAATATTACTAGCATTTAGCACTTCTTGTAGGAATTACTGAGGTGTAATGGTGCTGGTTTCTCTTTCGTTCCAGGGAGGAATGTATGAATTTGCACATCTTTAGCAATGTGTTGGAGGAGGCTTCCCATTGCGGCTGCAAACATTTGGAAGGTGGCTTGAGAGAAACTCTTAGTTTCCATCTTGAATGCGAACCACAGTACCAAGTAGAACGTGCCCAGCCGCAGACTGCCAGCTCATCATAGAGCCATGTACGGGAAAATGATACTGCTTTCTATAAATCTTGGAGGATAACAACCACAACGTGACCCTTTCACCAGATATATCCAGGTTCCAGAACGTCTAGTGCCATGAGGTCTGTATGACCCCATTTTATCTTAGCTGGAAGTAAAACAAATGTGTTTTACCTTTCACAACCCTTTGACTCCCTTCTTTCTGCTATATCTGGGTCACTGGAAAACTCATGGCCCTTTTAATGTTGCCCACTTCCTGAGAATTCCTGGTAAAGCATCCAAAAAAAGAAAGTTCCAGTCATTTTCTTCATAGTCTTTGAACAAGCCCATCCTCTGGGTGGTTCATGCCCTCAAAATCGCAGCTGAAACTAGATATGGCCCCGAAATAGACAGTTTGTTAATTCCTGCCCTCAGAGGCTGAGCCAAGAGATGGGTGTGGGAGTCGGATGGGGGGCGATATTTATAGGATGCATCTAAGAGAAGAAGCAGAACGAAGGCAAAGTGGCATCCTACCCTTCCCCAGTTTTTCTCCGTAAGGACAGAGTGGGGCTACCCTGTTGCTTCTGTTTGTTTCATTGTAGTGACCTCCAACAGCCGGAGTGGGTTCTTGTGATAGTCACACTGTTTTATCTACAGCGGCCAGGTGACAACAATGCTAGACTTCTGTGAGGCTATCTTGGCAACACACAGAATACAACACCTTATACAGCATTTGGAATCTCGGGAAGCTAAGCTTTCATTTGTACAAAAACAATAAGTGCCTAGTCCTTATGACTGTGGAGAAAAAAAGGGCAAGTTTTTTATATTAATGACAGCCTGTGGTAAGTTAATGAAACACCCAAAGACATAGGAACTGGCTGCTCCTGTTCCCCTGTTTTTTTATACACCTCTTGCTCTCTGCTCCTAATGTTCCAGATGTCCCCATTTTCCTCCTTCAGTTGCAGTTAGGTAATTTTAGATTCCAGACTTGGCATGGTGTTATGCCGTCCCCCTGCCCTTCCCCCCACTTAAGTTGGTGATGGGTATTACTTCAAAATGAGGTAAGCCAGGTCTGCTGATCATTCTGAGTGTACCCCCACACACACAGAGCAAACATTCTGAAGTCCAACACACACATGCGCACACACACACACACTTCAGATACTACAACCGGAATTATGTTTGCAAAGAAAATATTTGTTGCTAATTTTGCTTACTGCCTTAATTTATTCCCGTTGCACCAATCAGTGACTTGGATTGTAGGCAGGGATGGGTGAACATGCCCATTTTGGTTTCTCTCAGTTTCTCATTCTTCCAATCTTAAATTCAGTTCTCTACATTTCCACAACTCTCTGTGATTCTTTTCTGGGTGAAAAGTCCTATGGAAAGTTCATCAGCATGTTAGTACAAGTTTATCTTAATATACACATGCTTGTATGCAATTTTCCTCTAATATACACACTTTTGCACAGCAGTTTCCCTTCAGATAATGTGCTTTTGCACATTATTTTCACTAATGTGTGTGTTTATATGCATGCTTTACCCAGGTATTTACATTTTTGTGCAAATGACTGGAGAACTACATTGCAAAATTTGGAGAAGTGCAGATTTTGAAGGATGGTTTGCATTTTGCGAATTCAGCAAACCTAAACAAATCCCCCTGCCATTCCTAGTTGTAGAATTTGTAGGTTTTTCCTGCCTTACAGTATTTGGGGCCATAGAACTTTTGATTCATTTGCTACCTGAAAATGTAGCAGGTACAAAGATCTTCTGAGATCCTTTGGCAAAGGTCTGTTGATGAGAAACATCCCCCCACAACCACCACCTTAGTAAAACATTTAGAATCTGCTGCCCATATGTATGCTATGTCGTCGTCCTGGATTAGAAAAGCCACTCTCCCCTTAGGTTTTGGAAAAGACCCAGGGGTGCAGCTGTGGCAGCTGTCGGGGCGTGGAGTGGCCAGGAATGTGCTGGGACAGCACGTAGGAAACAACTTTCTGCCTGCCTGGGACGCTACTGTGCAGGGAAGACTGCTCTATGAGCTTACCTACGGCAGTACCCCCAACGCTGTGGGACTGTGAGATACGTTTGAGTTAGAAGCGATGGCTTAGCAGCAAAGGGTTAACCCGAACATGTGCCTCAGAAGTTCTCCCCCTCTTCCCCTCTGAAGTTTGACATTCCCCAGCCAGGAATTTTTCCAGGCCTAAATCCATCTTCCACCAGCAACGACCCCCTTTCCAGATCTGGGTTCTTGCGGACTGGAGGCGGCGGCATGAAAGAAAAAGCAGGAGAGAAGGAGAAAGGGGGAAAGGGTGAGTTAATCAAACTGGTGTGTGCGAATGGCAAGGGAGCAGCCTCCGAGGTGGGATGGATGCAAGAGAAAGAAAGAACTGAGTGCGAAATGGGCAAACGGGGAATTAACTTGATGGAGAGAAGAAAGTGGGAGAAAGGCTGAGGGGAATCTGGAAGGAGTGAATGAGCGTAAAATGATATGTGTGTTATGTGAAGAGAACTGATGCAGGCTGCTAGATAGTGCACTGGGTTCAAATCCTTCCTTGTCACCAAGGCACTAGTTCTCAGTGTCCGTTTTTGTCATTGGGAAATATAGGAATAGTCACAAATCAGCCTCATGGCATTTTTTTGTTAGGATTAATGAGGTAAAGAAGGCAAGCTTGCTTGGACCTCAGATCTACCATGAGCACAACCATTTGTCTGTGCAGCCATAATATACTATGAGAAAAAGAATAAATTTGGTTTTGAAAGGTACAGCAGCTGTGACTGATACTTAGGAAGATCCTGAGTGTTTGAAAGAAAGGAAAGGCTAACCTTATGCAGGATTAAAACACTGGATGAAGAGTTAATAGGCATTATACAATTGTTTATGATTTAAATCATATTTTCACGAGCTGGGAGAACGTGGCACACGCTAGTTTATCTGGAGCAATTGTGGACGTGTGTCTTTACTGGATCATGCATACTTTTTTGAGACAAATCCCAGAGCGGTAGCTATGTGAGCACTGCTGCAGTTGAAACAAAAAAGAGCCTCGTGGCACTTTGAAGACTGACAGATTTATTATTGCGGCATAAGCCGCAATTAAATTGGTTAGTCTGTAAGGCACCACAAGGGTATTTTGTTTGTACTTATTTGGTGGTACATTCCCACTGAACTCGGTTGCACTTACTTCTGAGTAAGCGCACACAGAACTGAGGCATGGGGATGATAAGGAAATAAGAAAATATGTCTTTGGGCATGGGAGGATGGATAGATCAAAAGGAAGGAAGAAGAATGGATATTAGGTTAGATATTAGTAGGGAATAAGAGTGTTTGGAGATGGATGAATAAACAGTAAGATGAGGTGGCTGAGATGGAGAGTGTTAGCTAGAGGGAGGTGCTATGAATTAGTGAGTGTGGCAGGCACGGATGGAGAACTAGTAAGCAAGGGAATGTGAGAGAGACAGCAACAGAGGGGAGAGTGGCACAGCTAAGTCCTCCCCTGGCACACTCCCCAATTTACTCTCCTCTCCCCTCCACCATCCCACTCGCTGCCGAGCTGCCTGGACACCATCTGTTGCTTTGGGACAGAGAGAGTGGACAGGGAGAGAGGCAGGATGGGGGCCCCTCCCCAGGGTAAGTTCCCTTTATTCCCAATAGGAAGCAGGATTGCTCCGTGGGTGTTTGGGGAGGAAAAATAAAGAGGGGAGGGGACATAAAAATTAAGTTGGCGGGTGCCATAGGGTGAGCAGAACTGCAAGGAAAGGCAGCGGGTGTTCTAGAGATTATTCCAAGCGGGAGAGAAATGGCGTTATGGGAATGCCATAGGTGAGGGTCCCATGAGAATTCATATACATCCCTAAGATACGTATGCAATCAGCTCCCTAGGAATTGTTCCCAGTCTGTCAAAAACAGACCTGTTTTGCAGGAGAGAACCAACTGGGGTTTTTTTTGGGGGGGGGACGGGGACAGTAGACCTCATTTAAAGAGGATATAAAGACTGAGTATCTGCACCTGCAGACCCAATGGGCAGCTGTAGGATTATAGCATTTATTACATTGTATTTATTGAACGTTTTATCTCCAGCCCTTTCTTCCAGGGAGCTCTCCCTTCCCCATTTCATCCTCACAGCACCCCATGAAGTGGGTTAGGCCGAGAGATAGCACAGCATAGATGCTTGTGGCGGATATTGTGCGGGTGGGGTCTGGCGCTTGTGATACTATGAGCTATAGCTCTGGTAGCAGGGTGAGGCTTGTGGGTTTCATTAACACACACATACACCTCGGTCCTTTTGCGAAAGTTGACATTTGGGGATATAAATGAGGCCTAGATAATGTGTTGGCTCCATTTGTGGAGGGAGGTCCTGGTGGGGCCAAGAGTGAGGGCGCAACGAGAGATAATCTCTGAGGTTCTCAAGGACCATGTAAGGTACAAAAAAAAAAAAAGAACTAAAAAGGTGTTTGGGACTTCTTTGCACAAAATGTGTAGTTTTCAAGAAGACAGCTATAAAATGTTTGTGGTGGTTTGGAGAAACTCAAATCTGTGGAGTGTTGGTCATTGTTTAATAGCCCTATGCAGTTTGGCTTAGTGGGGGCTTATTTATTTATTTACTATTTATTAAATCTGTATACTGCCCTTTATCCAAAGATCACAGGGCGGTTCACAACACAGAGATTATAACATTGGAGGAGCTGGATGCTTGTTTTTTGGGGGGCGGGGGGCGGGGACAGTGGCCGTGGAGAACTTTTGAGATGTAGCAGGTGCCTGGAAGGCAGCTATTTGGAAAGCTGTTAATTTTTTTGGCAGGGGGTTTGCAAGGGGAACAACTGAACATTAGTTATGTGACTCAGGCCCATCAAAATCAATGGAACGAGTTAGCCGTGACTAACTTGAGCTGGACTGGATCAGGCACATGAAAAGCATCCTGGACCGCTCGGTCGTCCCTGTTGGGATGCCAGCTATCCTCCAATTTGATCATTCAGGCGTTCGGAACAATCTGGGGGGAAATGGGTGGGTGGACACTGATTTAGGAAACCTGGCCTGGACTGATATGGCGGCCCCTGCAGACTGCCCGCCCACCCCAACCCTCCTGTGGGGAAGGAACGAGACAGCCACAATCTGGCAGTTTTGCCCATTTTTCGTCTTTCTTTCCCATTCTTCTCTTTCTTGGATGGAAACACAAGCCGGTGAAGCCAGCGGAGGAGGGCCTGTTTCCTTACAACATACCCCAAGCCGTCCTCCTCAGGCCCACTCCCGCCAACTCCAGCTGGGCCTTCCTCCTATCCTCCTCTATATTTTTCCTGGGCTTTCTTTCGGCATGTGGAAAAACCAGCTGGAGCCAAGATGAAATGAAATCGCAGAGCTGGATCCCAGTGCTGGGAGGGGAAGAAAAGTTTAGTGTATTAGAGGCCATGGGGAAGGGAGGACGTAGGAAGTGTATTCCCCCCCCCACCTGCCCTCCCACCAGCTCGATAAGGGGGCCTGAGGTAGGAATAGGTTCAGCAAGACAAAACTCTGAAGAGAAAGGATTCTTCAGAGCTGTTGTGCTTAAAATGGAGAATATCCAGTAGTGTCTAGTACTTACAAATATGCCAATTCCACCCTGCACCTTGAACAGCTGCATTGCAGCATGGTATCAGTTCAACAGATGCAGACTTTCTTGGCATGGAAATGCATTGATGGGGGAAGACTGCACCTGCTGACAACACTCAATCATTTAGGGTGGTAAAAACAGAAAGGATGTCTCCCGCCTTTGATTCCATTCCTAGGCAGAGATTATGGTCCAAACTTGCCCATCTGGGAATTGACTCGCACCTCCTCTCCCTAATTATTTCCCTGTATTCAAACACCACAGCTCGCGTCCGAAGTGGGCCCAACGGCTCCCTCACTACTCCATTTTCAACGGCCAAGGGCGTCCGACAAGGTTGTCTCTTAGCCCCTCTACTGTTTAATCTCTATCTTCATGATGCAATTTCCACTTTGAAGCTAGCATCTAAGTACCCTCCTCACTTAGCAGGCCACCCCGTTGCTTCCCTTTTCTATGCTGATGATGCCGTCATCTTATCCAGAACAGCTGCGGACCTAGCAAATGCAGTTAATGCATTTATCGCCTATTGTAAGGCGGAAGCTCTTAATATTAATTATAAAAAATCGAAAGTCCTCCACTTCACTCGTTCCCGCAAACTCAAGCTGAAGCCGCTTAAGATCACAGGTGGCTACTTAGAAAAGGTAAAAGCCTTTAAATACCTAGGCTTAATATTCACTAATAATCTCTCCTGGACCACCCATCTACAATCTGCCTTTCTCGCTGCAACCACGACCTCTAACGCCATTGCCCGATTTTACCACCAGAAGGGCGGCAAACACCTTCCAGCAGCAATTCAAATATTTAATGCCAAAGTTGTCCCTAAATTATTATATGGATGCGAAGTATGGACTACAGCAATATCAGCTAACTTGGATCGCCCTCTTCATATGTTTCTGAGATCTCTTTCCGGCGTCCCGAGATGTGTCTCTGGTGCAGCCCTCCGACTCGAGTTCGCCCAGCCCTCAATTGTAAAACGAGCATGGAGTCGAGCCATTTCCTATAGCTCCCACCTATTAGCATCGGACGCTCGAATCAGAGGTGGGTTTTCCAATCTGATCCTAAGAGATATTCATAACTCCCCTTGGAAAACTACAATTAACCTCAAACTCCGCTCTCTTCTCAATTTGAATTGTAAAACTGTTCTTAACTCAGAGTATATCAGCCCGGCGGCCCTACCTCCAATTAAAAAGAAACTACAGCAACTTGACTTCTCCAATACAGCTTCTTGTGCAAGAGGACCGTGTTCAGGCCTAGCCCTAGCTATTCCACCCCCTGAAGGGATCCCTCTATATTGCTTCACAATTTCTTCAGAGGCTAAGCGAAGGGCCTTTACCTGTGCCCGTCTCAACTGTTTTCCTACAGCAGTTCTGTCGGGTCGTTATTCCAGAGTTCCCATCGCAAATAGAACATGCACCTGCAATGACACGGCCCTGGAGACTATGGAACATGTAATGCTCTTCTGTCCTAATTGGACAGATGAAAGATCTCGGTTTTTAACCCCTCTCATGAACAAGCTTCATCTCCCAATCCAGCCTTGGATAGTGTCCCTATTATTGCAGGATTCTGATTGTTGGATTACCGAGATGACAGCTAACTTCCTGCTTAGTGTGATGAAGAGGAAAGCGGCACTAACTTCTTTCTTAAAACCACAGCTGCACTCGATACGCCGCACAATCGAACGAAGTTCCAAGTAGCCTTATTGTACAAGGACAATGGAGTTAGAACAAATCTGA